CACCACACTGGTTGGCCTTGCCCTCCAGCACAAAGAAGCGAGGGTGCAGGCGCCAGATCTCACCATGGATGGATTCCTCCAACGGCCCGCCGTTTCTGCTACGGCAGTTGAGGCGGTCAAAGAGGCGAGCAGACATTTCGACTCTCTAGCACTCCAGCTCGGATTCATCTACGACGATCCGTCTCGAACGCTGTCTCTTCTTGAAAACCCAACGTTATACGTGCCACGAGCGTGTCCTGGAGCAAGGCTGCCGCACGGGACCATCAACGATGGGTTATCCCTTTTGGACCTTGTGCCCTATAATCGATTCAGCGTGCTGCACTTCGCGAATCCGGCGTTCGCATCCTGCCACTGGGCAATTGATGTGGCAAGCCTTGGTCTGCCCGAAAGTTGGTTTGAAGTGGTCCCGGAAATCAAAGAGGGTAAGGGGATTATTATCAGGCCGGACAACCATGTTCTACTGCATGTGGACAACCTGATTCAGGCGGACAATGCGGTCAAGAAGTATTTGGATAAAGGCAAGTGCGTGTGAGCAATAGTACAGTGTCAAGAGATACAAGATTGAAAATATTTCCTGACCTCATTCCATGACCAAACATGTGACCTAAAATACAGGCCACCATAGCGGAAAATATCACCAAATCAACAAAGCTCACGCCCATAGCCTTGGCCCAAAGTAGGTGCTTAACCCTACACCCTTCTGAGATGAGGAAACCGATGCCATAGTATGCAGACCGGTCTCTGTCTCATTCTTGCTTTTTCAATGGAAACGAAGAGGAATGAGTTAGTATGGATAAGCATTCGGAAGCCCAGTAAACCCTTTGGGGGCAAGGATGACACTTACAAGGCATCTTTTACAGCAGCTTTCAAGTCGTAATCACCCATCATCATCCCCTGATTTTGGAGTATGCGATCATACCTCTCGACGACTCCAGCCTTATCGCGCGCGTACTGCCACATCGGGACGTACATCTTGACTTGCGGGACATTCTTGCCCGGCATCATCTCAAATGCGAAGCAGAGCCCGCAATACTTGCTGTCTGGGTCATTTAGTGGCTTTTCCAGGTTGTCCATGCAGGCTTGGGGAACGTCCTCCATGTCCATCAGCAGTGGCCAGACTTGCGGTAAGAAATCCGTGGAATGAGCCAGGCGGCCACCGAAGGTGAAGATATGACGGGCTGAGGCGAGTGAGTTGGCATGTGTGTGCGCGTATATCTTGAAACGAGGTTCCATCTCATAAGGGAGGCAGTCAATAGCGAGGAAGTATATGTTGATGTTTTCCTCGCCGTAGGAAACGAGGAACGTTCTCAGCAATGCCCAGGCGGCCAACAGACCCTCGTTACCCTCTGCAAGTCGTTCAACGATAGACTCGGTGATGCTTACCAGGCTTCGGCCGGTTGCAAGCGCTTTGAGTTGCGGAAATAGGTACGCTTTCATGCCGATGGCCGCTTTTCCATCGGTCTCTTTGGATTCGAAGTCAAACCCGGCATAGCAGATCTGCCGCGGTAGAGCATCTGCGGGGCTACCATTGGCCGTTTTATCGACCAAGCCCGCCTCCTCCTCGGCAGTAAGAAAGACAGAATCAACAAAGGCATCCAACCAAGTGCGGTCTGCGCCGCAAGAAGACGCCAAATTCTCCAACTTCTCTCGCAGTCCTTTCTGCCCCAGGGGATCCTCGCCTAGAGTGCTAGGGTCCACCAACGGTTGCACTGTAAACCGCACCTTGGGCGGTTGGTGAGACGCAAAGGCGAGGCTTGCTTCGTAGGGCGAGTGATTGTGCGTCAGAATATAGTGCAACCTATCAGCCGTGGTGGGTGGCTGCTTGAGGCGGGGGACCACAGCCTCACGCACGAAAGCGAGATGAGCGTCCTGGATGTAGGCCGGGTAGGCGCCCGTCCAGCGTAAGAGGGAGGACAGAGTGCTGTGAAGGGTGGGGAGCCATGAGGAAATTAGCGGTTCTCCTTTAGCAGAGGCGGAAAATTCAACTTCGTTGTAGATATTTCTTTTTGAGGCGCCGCTAGCGTGATGATGTGTGGTTAAGTCGTGACTTTTCATGGCGAGGTTGCGTGTGTCAATTGTCGTATCCTGACTGTCTGCTTGGCTGGTATTCGCGCTGATGTTGTCTGTTTCCATTTTGATATCCAGCTCTTTGCTTTCGGAACCTAACGTGATCGTAGGTCTCTTTGTGGTGTTCGCCTGAGTCAATGTTTCTAGGAGTGCATGTCCTGCATGCCGAATGTCGCAAGAGGTTACCCTTTTCGGACTCGCATTAATACATCAGACCGCCGCTGATGAAGTAACAGGCGCAAGGAATGCCAATATTGATGTACAGAATATAGTAAGAAATCAGGATGAAGAGAAAAGAAAAACAAAAATAATGAAAGAAATGATCGAAAGGCTAAGTAATTTCTGGAATGCGAGTACGCACGCGATCCGGGCAGCCGGACTGATCAGGTACGTATATGAATGGGGACCAGCCTGTTCTTGACATGTGAAACGGGACTAATGACAAAATGGGCATTTGAGTCGCGCTGAGAGCATGGCCTGGCAGGGCTGGACTCGAAGTCTAAATACACGTTTCATGCAGATTGAAGAGTTCTGTTGAGCGAACTGGTGGGAAAATCAAGGTTTGGGAACTGCTTGCACAGGTGAAAGGTTCACGGGCCCTAACCTTGTTGACAAGACTTCGTCATAAAGTCAGTTCGGGGTGGGGAACTCCTAATAAGAAGTCTAACGGCCCCTTGACCATGTCCATCGTAGTGGCTCTCAGCACGAACACGAAACAACAAGAAGTTCCTCGCCTCTACTATCACAAACCCTCTTCGATACCCACATTTTCAAAGCGAACTGCAATTACATCACTCGAGCCCGAGTCTTCCGATCATGTCGCCAGCGGAGAATATCAACACAATCTTCACTGTACTACCTTCGAGCCTGAACACGATGGACTGGGCCTACGCTCATCTCCGTCAGGACAATCACCAAATTCAATTGATGAGGCCGAACTTTCAGAGGAATGGATTGGGAATAACACCAAAGAGGACAGGCTTTCGGAGCCCCAAGAAACAGTCAAATAGATGATGAACGAAGTAAAGAAAAGTGATGCACAAATTCCTGAGACCGTTGGCAAGTGAGAGGGAAATATTCGAACTCCTCAATTAACATGGCTACGGCAGAACAACAGATCACCGAGCTCCGGTCCCTTCTGGACTTACTGACCACCTCGGTGAATGACCTCATCACCGAACTTTCCTACTCTCCATCTCGCAAGTCCATAGCCGACAACAAAGCCGATGTGCGCACCCCGAGAGGACCAAAGACAGAGGAGACCCGCAAATGCATCATCGCCGCCGCAGGCTCACTCGAGGCGGCCGTTCTCACGCCACAATGGCGTCTCGGTCATCTGGCTCATAGCTATTTCGTGTCGCGCGCACTGCACATGGCTGTCGAATGGGATATACCCCAATTGCTGGCGGACAGCGGGCCCATGCACCTCGACACCCTCGCCTCGAAGACGGGAATCGTCGATACGAACAAGCTGGGACTCGTGATGAGGATGTTGTGCGCGCACCACATCTTCTCCGAGACGGCCCTTGGCGTCTTCGCCAACGACGACGCATCGACCGCCCTGGCGACCGATGAGCGGCTCGCCAACTCGGTGCGCCACGCCTCCTTTCTCTTCCCTACAGCCGACGTGCTTCCAAGTCTTCTCAAGGACCCAGTTCTCTGCGCCAGCTATGCCCCTCGAGATTCGACTTTCTCCAAGACCATCGGCAAGGGCATGGGTCAGTTCGAGTTCTTGAAGGCGCATCCCGAGTGGCGTGACTGCTTCAACTTATGGCTCGCATCGCTGGGGGAGTACTTGCACGGGCTTACAGACGTGCGGGGGTACCCCTGGGAAGACATTCTCCGAAATGGTGCCGTGGTCGTTGACGTCGGCGGAGGGTTCGGCAGCTCGATTCAAGCCCTGCGAACTAACTTCCCCGACCGCCAGAACGACTTTGTCGGCATCGTCCAGGATCAGCCCGGCATGATCGAGCACGCCACTGCCCGCTGGCAAAAGACAGACCCGCGGGCCTTGGCAACCGGCGCGGTCAAGCTCACCACGCACGACTTCTTCAACGAGAACCCTGTCAAAGGCGCCGATGTATACTGGTTCCGGTCGGTCATTGTGGACTGGCATAACGAAGACTTAATCACCATGTTCACACACATCAAGAATGCCATGACACCTGGAAAGTCGCGGCTGCTCATTGGCGAGTACATGATGCACCCAACATGCGGCGACACCATGTTGCCCAACGCACCGCCCCCTTTGCTGAAGAATTATGGTGAATTCCAGGCCATGGGGCTCATCGCAGGTTTTGTCCTTACCGTTAGTCCAAATGGTTGTCAGAGAACTTTGAATGAATTGAACAATGTTGTTGAGGCAGCTGGCTTATTTATTGCTAAGGTTTGGATTTGTTATGGCTTGGGGAACGTGATTGAGTGCTTGTTGAAGGAGGACCTGTACATGTCACGAGTGACAGACAGCATCTAGGTACTTGCCAGACATTCTCAATCGACTTTGTTTGTACTTCGGGAATATCCATCTACACACAAGCAGATCGGAGGCTGAGCTGCCCATGGCTGGGTGTACTCTGGAAGAACGGGTATTCTTTCACAAACAATTGAGGTACGCATGAAAATATGTGCTGTGTTCAAAACTCAAATCTCAAATCTCATAGCGACACCCAAACCCGCGTGATACGGTCACGCGGCTGCGATCAATATCAAGAGAAGCCACCATTCAGCGGCAACTTAACAATAATATTGAACAATCATGGCGTGACTTTAATGAAACTGTTTAAAGACACTTATAATCTCTCCAGATGTCGCAGTCTGTAGTCTTAATGTATTGATGATTATGGTCTGATTTGCGATAAGACAAGGACTTTTAATAGCTATCAAAACTTGCACGGGTTGTGTTCAGATTCAGATGTCAACTTTGAGATGACCGCTTAACTATTTCATTATGGTCAATTTAAACTAAATATGTCGATGGACTGGTGTTAAATCCAATACTGAGGTTTTGCCGCTGGCTTTTGCATAATAAACTCCACGGGTACGTCCTGCTCCCATTCTTCACCCGCATTCAAAGTATCCAAACCTGCCTCTACTGCAGGGTCAATCATCCGAGTGTCGTCAGTATCATATCCGTCGTCATCCCAGTATCTCTTCGCATTGTCCCTGAGCACTTGACTGCCACCCATGATGGATGACCGAAGTGATCTAAGCGCACTGGCTCGTGAGGCCTGGAAGGAGTTGCCCGCCAAGTTCCTAGACTTCCTTGAGGGATATTTGGATGACCCATTGCCGAAACTCCTTTGCCTCTCCGTTACCTCGAGATGGTTCCAATCTGCAGTATGATCTGGGCTGTTACCATCTTGGCCCGGTGGTGACGTGGACGTTCGTGAGTTGCCACCTTTATCTTTCTTGGGCTTGGGAACACGGAGCCAGTAGAAACCCAAAGCAGCGATGGCATTGAAGAACACGAATGCGAACAAAATGCCCAAGTCTCGCCAGCGATTGCTGAACTCCACTTGCACCCCAGCCAGCACCTGATTTGTATTGCTTGTTGTGCAGAAACTGCAATTCTCAGCAGCGGCCGGATCAGCAAGATATCCGCCCGCCTGGGAGGCAAAGGGTTGCAGGTACTGGCCACAGTTCTGCCCCGGGGGCGGATTGATGTGTAGAAACTCATTGTTCTCGCAGTGGATGGCCGCATTGGCGAGACCTGTTCCTAAGAGCCCCTCAACAAGATAGGTGAATGGGTTGACGCGATACACCCAAACCCAGAACTTTGGAGGCGAGGCGAGAATGCCGTTGAAGATAAACATCATAACAAATAACAGATTCCCGATACCGGCGGCTTGGTCGGCGAGGTTGAAGGCCGCTCCAATCATGTGCCCAAACGTGCTGGCCTGAAGGAAGAAGACGAGCATGAACAGAAACGCCAGCCCGCCTCGTGCGGCGGTCTGGTGTGTCTCTGCCGCATTGCGGTTCAGTCCAACCAGATAGTACCATGCCAGGAACGCCGGAGGGGCCATGACCGCGTTATAGGCCATCTCGACAACGATTTGAGCCCCCATAAATGCCGACCACGAGTACGTGCGTGAGAGCTGCTCGCGGCCTTCATAGAGCGTGCGTTGCGTCATGAACACGGGTACGCTCTGCTGAATGAGGTTTAGGTGCGTCGTGAGGAACATGAAGATGGCGATGGTCTGGATCGTGATTCCCACCTGCGTGTTGGGCAAGTTGAGCAGCGAGAGTCCGATGAAGAGGGCCGCGCCGAAAGTCAGTAGTACCTTCGAATAGATGTAACTTGGGTTGCGCCAGTAATGTCGCGACAAACGCCTAGTAACCTCAGAGAACTGGACCGCCAAAGGAGCGGCAAAAGGGGGGTCCTCCTGTTGCTGCTGTTGCGTTGAGTAGTGGTGCGAGCCATTTCCTTTCTCTTTGAGTCGCGTCAGGTGGGCCTTGACTTTGCCATACTCAGTGCTCTTCCGCCATGCCTTTGGCCAATCCACGCCCTTATTTCCACCCTCACTGGCGTGGACTTGGTCGAGGATGTACTCAGCCGGATTCTGTCCCTTCTTTGGTTGTGGTCCACCATTGCGGACGAAATAGTCAAGCAAGACTTTGGCGTTGCGTCCAATCTGACCAAAGTAGACGGTCCGTCCCCCACGAGCAAGAAGAAGTAGCCTGTCAAACCGCTCGAATAGCTAATGTTGGATCACACATTGTGTTAGCAGTGTACGGATATGACTAAACCCCGGATGGATATATGTCGCGGTGGAGTGGAGAACACTTACAACTGCTGACGGTTGATGGATTGTGCACAGGATAGCCTGCCCATTGTCCCTCAACGTCTCCAGCAGAGTGCAAATAGACAAGCTCGTCTGCGAATCCAATCCCGAAGTAGGCTCATCCAAAAAGAGAAGTAGTGCGGGGCGAGCAGCCAGCTCAACGCCGATTGTTAGTTTCTTCCGTTGTTCCACATTCAAACCCTCACCAGGCACGCCGACCACAGCATCTGCATATTCTCCCATGCCGAGAATCTCAATAACTTTATCGACGTACGCGATCTTTTCCTTGTGGGAAAATCGAGAAGGCTGGCGGAGGACAGCGCTGAAGGTGAGTGCCTCACGCACCGTTGATGTAACTAAGTGTTGGTCTTGCTGCTTGACATAGCCCGTCTTCTGCTGGAAGGAGGCGTCACGGGGGGCCCCGTCGACCAGCATCTCACCCGTCACCACGCCAATGGACAGGCGAGAGGCGAGGGCGTCGAGAAGGGTGGTCTTGCCGGCGCCCGAAACACCCATAAGGGCAGTGAGGGTCCCCGGCTCACACCACCCGTCCACACAATCAAGGATGCGCTTCGTCTCATTCTTCTTGACCTTGATTTCATAGCAGACGTTGCTCCAGTGGAAGATGGCTGTCTGGCGGTCGATAGACAATCCACCGCTATCGTCACCGCCGGCAGTATGGTCCTCGGATCTGTCTCGTTGCCGCGGCGGCATATTCCAGGCTTTAACCGGAGAATTTGTGATTGTGCTGGCCGTGTCCGAATAGTGCAACCTCTTAGATCTCGTGGTCGGAGAGCCCCCATCAGTGTACGGATACATGCCAGCAAATCCTCTTTTGACAACGACGGGTGCAACAGGTGAGACGGGCAGGGATGCCATAGGAATGCTCGTACTGGTGCTCGGCGCCTCCGTCTTTCCCCTGGTGATATGATCCTCCACATCTTTGGTGCGCCCAATTGGGATCTTTCCCCTTGGGAAGACAAGCATCTCCTGTTTGCTCTTCTTGCTGCTAACGAGCTCCGTAGCCAGAAGGTGCAGCAAAAAGTAAGCGGCCGAAAATACAAAAATGAGGCCGACGTTCCGCCAACGGTGGCTGTCCGAGTACCCAAACGCATTGGTAATGTACGCGCTCCCATCAATGAATTCGGCACCCGCGACACCTCCTTGCGCGGCACATACACGGGTTTGCGGCATCGCTCCTGCATTTTCATAGCCTGGGCCAGATGGAACAAAGAGTTTGCAAGGGAATTTCCGTCCGTGACCGAATTCGTTGATCATGAGGGCCTCAAACCCATATGCCACGGGGCTGACCTTGGCGATCCACGCTGTGTAAGACTTGTAATACATCGGAGGAACCGCAAAACCCGTGTACAGCGACAGCGTGAGCAGGACTATTGTCGATGGGGCCATGGCTGCCGTGTGGCTCTTGGTGACAGAAGCGACCAGTCGGAAAAGTAAGCTCACGGCAAGAGTCATGGCGAACTGAACAAGGACGAAGAATAAAAAGGACCCGGCATCCGTGCGCAGGTTGCACATCCAGTAGAAGAGTGTATTGACCGTGATGGCGTTCAGCAGTTTGTAGGGTAAGCTCATGACCAAGTCCGCAATAGCCTCAGCCGAGGCGTGATACAGCGCATAGCGCACATGTTTCTCGACGATGTCGCGCTTGGCATACAAGGCCGCAACCTCAAGCACGCACCCAAAGGCGTTGACCAGCGCGGCGGTGAACATGAGGGTGCTGCGCGACTTCATGGACTCGGCAGTGTCTGGCAACCGGAAGAAAATGCTGGCCACGATGAGAGTCTGGAAGAGGTTAATGACGAGCATCATCACCGTCATCTGTGGCGCCGCCTTGAGCAGCGCGAGGGCGCGCCAAAGGCACAGCATGACCTGCCGCGGGTATGAGACGGTATAAGGTGACTTCCACCGCTGCAGCCCCGATTGATCGCTTTTCTTGCTCGCCAAGAAGTCGGCATAGTGGGTGCGTGAGCCGCTCAACGAAAAGGATGCATCGTAGGCGTCTATTTCCTCACTAACGTGGTGCCGGTGACTGCTCGTTCGCCACGCTTCAGCGAACTCGTCAGGGGTATGCGGGACCTTTGCCTCGTGCCCGGGCTTGACGATGCCTTCACGCTCAGCTGGGCTGGTCATGGAGGTCAGAAAGTCTGGCGTAGTCTGGTTCCGGGGACAAACGAAACCCAGCCGCTGGAAATATCGTTTGGCTTCCGTTGTCTTGCCAAAGTAGATCTGGCGTCCATCATAGAGGACCAGAACCTTGTCAAACAACTCGTAGGCCATCTGTGGGGCCTGATAAATGGCCACTGCGCTCGCCATGCCCATAATGTCGCTCTGGATGCGCAGGGTTTTGCAAAGGTCGACAGTCGCGGCACTGTCGAGCCCGCGAGTGCTGTTATCCCAGCACTGAATCGGCGCAAAGCTCAACGCCGCCTCCGCGATGCTCACGCGTTTGCGTTCGCCGCCCGACACGCCACGCACCGTGTCACCGTCAGTACCACCGACGGGTGTCTCCATCGTGTGCTGGATACCAAGCATGGCCATGGTCACGTCGCGCACCCTCCGTGCGTACTCATCAGCGGTGAGTCCCCCGGGCCGAGTCTTGGGCGCCCTCGCCCGCGCCGCGAAGAAGAGCGTGTCCGCTACCGATAGCGCCGGGAAATGAACATCCTCCTCGGCGGTGTATATGGCGTCGCCCTTGAAATAATGCTTCATCTCATCGGCACTCACGCCGCGGTAGTTAAGGTGGGCGGTCTTTGCAATTTGTGTGCCTTGCGTATCTCCCGCAATTGTCCGCAAGAAGGTCGAACACCCGCTGCCCGGTGGACCCAACACACACAGCATCTCACCGTCGTTCAACACCCCTTCGAGATTATGTAGGATGCGCACTTGTTGACGCTTGATGCGCAACAGACCACGCACAGCCGCCACGGCAGTGAGCCACCATGCGTTGCCTACTGTTTGCTGGTATGCTGTGTCAGCTCCGTAGCCTGAGATTGTGAGCTTGCGGAATGCCACGCCCGCCTTGCGAACTTCGCAGCTGTCGGAACGGAAGCGGTAGAATGACTTGGCCCACTCTCGTGCGTCGAAGTTGGCGCCGAAGGGGTCGAGAGGCCCATCCTGCTTCGGGGCCTTTGAGGCGTCAAGGGAGCCTTCTTGGGTCGACGACGTCGTGACATCGCCACCTTGTTGATCAAGGAACTTTTTGGCGAGCTCGACAAGGTCTGTTATGGCCTTGTACTCATCCGCGGAGATGTGGACCGAGGGAGGTCGGTTGTCACTGGGGAGGCCGGGAAAGCTGACGAGAGAGTAGCGGGAGTGGGGCGGACGCGAAGATCGACCTGCCGGCCGCTCATTCTCCGCCATGTCATCGGCGGGGCGTGCAGTAGCCATGGTTTTCAACCACAACGAAATGCGGATGTGACCAGGTGTTGATACCGGCCGGTAGAGTGATAGATTTGGTCGAAGAATTGTCGATCGCTCTCCAAGATTATTAAGTTGCAATGATTAAGATAGAGATTCAGGTGGAATATGATGTCGACCTTCAGAATGTGAAATGACACAAAGACGCAAGACGCAGCCACTTTTACCACATCTTGTTAGTGCTCATCAAGTGTGATCAAGTGCTGTAAACATTTAGTGCAATTCAACACGAATCACAATGAACTTGCAGATGTAATCTATATGGTAACAAGGCATGAATGTCGGCGAAGAGAATTCCCCTCGAGGCTCCCGCTCCGTTGCCCATCATCGGTGATCAGATGAAACTAACCCAGAAATGGTAAAAAAGGGAATCGGTTGAAGTCAAGGCGTCTTTAAGTTGACAAGACGTCAATGAATGCGAGTATGTCAATTGAAAGTCCGGCCCGTCTGTCAAAAGAACTCCCCGACACCCTAAAAGAGAAGAAACGGAGAAACAAAAACAAAGTGTGGCCGCATAAAACTTTCGGGTTCGTATCAACGCGTCGTAAAGTCTATTTGAATTTGCCCGGAGATTCCCGGAGGTTAGGTGGGAAGAAAAGAGGGTGTAGGGCGCTGAGAAAGACTGTCCTGACATGGGAATCTGTCGGGAGACCTGGGGATCTGTCGTTATGCAGCCTGATGAAGTAACCGGTCTACCGGATGCTCTTGAGGAACGCTAAGATAGCAGCATAAACTCAATGGTGCGCTAAACCTATCATGGTAAGAGATGGCGATTTACCTTATTTCAACATCCTTTTACCCACTTTATGCTACTTGAAAATCACAAGTAAAAACAGTAACACTATCGAGGTGTCACAACGTCACAACGACCGGATCAGTTGAACGTCCCTGCGCAATAGAGAGCGCCTGGTCTGCGCTCAGGGGCCGGTGGATGTGCATGCAAGCACTAAGTGCTGCTGTCGTGCAGATAATCACACTTCCGGTAGTCAAAATTGTTTAACCCAAATCAAATAAGGTAGATCAATTGAGTTGTTTCGCGGAACGTTTTCAAATGATTACATTGTTCATTGACCGGCCCTAATCAAGTTGACGAGTGACTAACTTCACCCAGAGCGGGTGCTTGTCCCAAATCCCATAACTGTTCTGGTCCAACCAATTGAAGTCTGGGTCAGCCAGCTCAAGGTCGAAGCTGTACAGCAGGCTGGTTATGATGAGCCTCATCTCGGGATATGCAAGGCTGCGTGAAATGAAGTTAGTAATCATGGCTCATCACACAGAGAGAGAAGACACCCAAGAATAGACACGAGAATTTGACTTACTTCTTGCCAATACAATCTCTTGGCCCCGCGGAAAACACCTTGACGCACTCTTTCCGATCATCAGTATACTTGGCGGGCCGGTCGTCGTCGCTTAACCACCGCTCCGGTACGAATTCCTCGGGATCAACAAAATTGTCTGGATGATGCGCAATAGCATACAGCGGAATGTCAACGCGTGTACCCGCCGGCACATAGCGTTCGCAGACGATACGTCCCCCTTGGGGTATCATGCGTGGCATAGGCGTTGGTGCGGGTGGATAGAGACGCATGGCTTCCTCAATGCACGCGTTAAGATACGGCAGCTTTCGCAGGTTGGTGAATGTAATGTCTTCCTGCGGATCCTTGATTGCAGCATCAAGCTCAGCGCGCAGCGTGGCCATCTTGGTCGGGTGAGTGAGCAGCAGGTAGCTCAGGGCTGACGTAGCAGCCGTGGTAGTCTCGGTGCCACCGATCATGAACGTTGCAGCATTGGAATACATCTCGGCGCGGGTGATGCCTGGTCGCTTCTCATCGCCGCTGCTTTGCATGATCATCGACCAGATGTCGCTGCCCGAGTCGTCGCCGCGGTCCAGGCGCTTATCAACGCGATCCATGGAGAAGCGATTGTGCCGGGCGCGGCGCTTACCACTGCTGCCCCAGATAGATCTGAGGAGCAGCGGGCCCAGAGGTGGGTGCCAACCCATCATTACCATGCCGAGCGTGACCGTCTTGATGGTCGAGTATGTGTCGCGAACCCACTGGCGAGCAGACTGGTCGTTATCGAGCATGCCGAGAGGCTCGCCGTACATAAGATCGCCCATGATGTCAAAGGCCAGGTAGCTCAGCCAGGTCACGAGATCAACGCGGCCACGAGAAGAAGCAGGCTCGGCATCCTCATCGGCTAGCTTGTCCATCAAGTTGTGGACATGGCCCTGGACGAGGCTCTCCTGCTTGCGCACGGCACGATCGGAAAAGGCATGCGAGAAAATCCGCCGCTGCCGCTGGTGGTTGGTATCGTCGGCACGCACGATGCCCTTCTCGGGCGCCGCCATGTCCGGACCCAGTCCGACAAAGTCCTTGGGTATGTCACCCCCACCTCCCGCCTTGGCATAGATGTCATGCCAAGCATCCGGGTGGGTGTAACTCAGCTCATTGGGGCCGATGCGGACAACGTGACCGTACCTTTTGTGCAGGAATAGTAGCCAGCTATGGTTGGAGCCATTGCCGCGGTGCCAAAGTGAGTAAACGGTGGTTACGCGTCCCAGCAGAGGGCCTGGGTATCCCGCCAGGGGATGAAGGGTCAGGTAGTAGATGGTGCGTAGCACGAAAACTCCGAAGATGGCCAGACCGATGGTCCAAAGGAGCTTCGGGAGGTCCGGCAGGTTGGACATGTGAATGTTGAAAGGTATGCCAAGAATCATTTTGTCCGCGATGGTGGATCCTGGATCGAGGTGCTGGGTATGTTCTCACTCTTGGCTGCTGCTTGTTGCTGTTCCTCCATGTGTTAGTTATTCTCCGTAAGGTAAGGCGAGTACGAGAGAAGAAGAGGAAGAGAGTCAGTTGTCTCTGTTCAAGGTTGTGGACATGACAGTGGTAATCACAAGTTCGCCTGATGACGGCAGAATTATGACGCAAGCAAGGCGAAAGCGAAATGGAATAGGATTTCCCCGACATGAGTAAACTATGGCACGGGGAGGCTGCCGGAGTCCGACGCCGAAAGTGCCGTCAATCACAAGGCCGAGGAAGCCGACAGCTGTTCGGCCATTGGGGTGAGTGCTTTCGGCCGTCTTCCTTGGTTGACCAAGGGCCATGGAAGCTTTCTCGCGCAACTTCCTGAACTGATACCTCTTCCCGTCTGCATGAGGTGGCTTGATTACTCTCAGTTGCGAGTGCTGGGCAGAACTGGTTATTAGTAGGTGCGCCGACTTCTTACGTCAAGACGGCATCTTGGTGGGTCTTTAGACCTGCCTCGACCTGTGCCTTGCGCAGGTCAAAGTTCGGAGAAAAGGCTTTTGCCAAGGGCCAAGGCGTAACGTGTCAGCGCTCGGACGACGTATATCCAGCGGAACGATCGTGTTCGCTTTGTTTTTTCCTTCTTTTTAACCTTTCGGATTACTACCAGGTCTCTGGAACCATGTGCATTGATGACAGGGAATATCCATCGTGCACGAGCATGATCGCCGTGCACACCTAACCTGGCCATGAAGTAAATGGATGTTCGGACGGTGGCTGGCCGCCGGGGAACTACCGACCCTAAGTTGCCAGGGTTAACCGGACAACGGCGTCATCTGTTTGTGCCGGTCCGATGGGGACATCATCTAATACAGAACATTTCCAAATTGGAACAAAAGTGCGAAAATACCTATGAGGTTATTTTCCAGTTGCGATTACGTGGGACACAAAGTTCGACGCGCTGGAATGCGCATACTACACCGAGAAGTTGGAAAACAATGCCTTTCCTGCCGTGCCAGCGTCATACATATAGATGTAAACACATCGTCCCTGCAAAGTCCATGAAGGCCCGAAGCTGTCAGAACCAAGTCATTGGATACATGATCTTTACGAATAACGAAGCCAACTCATCCTATCATCCTCAGCTATCTCAAAGCGTTGCCACAGCCTACCTATTTGTCCTGTTCTAATAAAATTAATTCCTACTTTCTTTCTTGGTAGCTCTGGTAGCTCCATTCACTGCCATGTCTGCCTTTCACCACCCGCCGTCGCCGCCTCTGCCTCCGACCCCACCCAGAACCCCTCCTTCTTTGAAGAGTCCACAAGAGGATGTGGACATGGGCATGGGGTCGCCATCGCCTATGCCCTCAAGGTCCCTCACTGTCCCCCAAACGTCAGCTGAAGGCGTCTTGACGCCACCAATTACTCCGGTGAAGAGAAAACATCCCATGAATACAACCTCCTCGACAATCATCAGCTGCCCTATTTCAAAGGCCAGCTTCCTGCTTGCCCAGGCTTCTTTGGCGACTGAGCTATCTGGAGTCTCATCAATGACTGAGTTCAATCTCCGGAGCCAAGGGTCACTCCCAGCCGGAACCCGAACACTGCAGTTCGGCCCTGGCCTTGATGGATGTTTTAACCGCGCCAGAGGGTTTCTGGGAGGTCGAGAATCAACTCAAAGCCGCACCGCTAGTCTCAGGGCCTCCTCCATACGCTCAGGTCAACGCCTGCCAGTGTCCCTGGAGCCATGGGAGGCGGTTCATGGAAATCTGCCCCTACTACTCCGAGCGGGACGAGTGCGTGAAGCTGTCGACGCCCTGGGCAATCGTGCGGAAAGAGCCATAGATGCATGGGATGACTTAGAGCCGCGTCATCTGGCTCGGGCGGCGCTAATTCTGAGCGCGCTGGCCCACGCGTATATGTTTGGTGAGGAGCAAGGCAAGGGAAAAGACGGACAGTCTCTGGTCCCGCGCCATATCCTTGCTACGTGGGAGAGGGTTTGCGAGCGATTGGGTAGAAGCATGACTGGTCGGGTATGTACGGATCCATGTCCTCCAAACATACCACCCAAACAAAGGATCATAGCTGACTCTCCACGGCAGGTGCCCGCTGATGATGTTCTGAACAACGCTGTGGGCGACAACTCCTTCAGTCTGAAGAGTACCTACTTTGGCCTGCCCGAGGAGCGGCTCTCTTCGGGGCTCCAGGGCACGATGGAGG